TAGTGACAAGATTCCGACCTGATCCAGTGTAGAACTGTAGTAGAGTCGGACCAGAGTGTTATCTTCCTGATGGGTAAGGTGAGTTCAGTGCGAAGAACACTGGCTAGCTGTGCACCAGTGAGGGCAGCGTTCAGCTCTAGCCGTGGCATGGAGAGTTGCTTCTTTGGTGCCACACGTGACCTGGCCAGAACAAAGGAGACATGGATTTTATTCTGACTGTCTTCTGTTCTCAGGTAAGCGACAGACCCATAGGCTCTCTCAGAAGCATCACAGAATATGTGCAGGTCTCTGGTTGATGATGATGAGTCTGCAGAAGCTGGTGCATAACATCTAGGGATTTCCATGTGGATGAGTTCTGGAATCTCTTGTTCCCAGGCGAGCCATCTGTCACGGAGACTCTGTGGCTGAATTGGCTCATCCCAGCCGATCTGTTCTTTCCAAAGATCCTGAACCAGAATCTTGGCTCTGGTGGTAAACGGTACAATATAACCTAGGGGATCATATTGACAGGCAAGTACCTTATAGACGTTCCTTAATGTGGGCTCGGTTCTCTCCACTGTTCTATGTTTGTACTTCAGGGAGTCGCGGAGGCAATCCCAACGTAACCCTAGAGTTGGCTCCTGTAGGTACATGCTGGATTGGGAAAGCCACAGATCACTGCTCTCAGATCTCATGTCAGATGGTAGGTGCTCAATGACCTCTGGGATGTTGCTAGCCCACTGCCGCATCTCAAAGCCCCCTGTGATGAGTAACTGACTTAGACCATCCACCAGATCCTTTGCTTCCTCCTTTGAGTGGGTGCTGCGGAGACAGTTATCCACATAGAAAGACTGTTCAACACAATCGACTAGATGGCTGTTAGACTTACAAATATCCTGGACGTGCCGCTGCAGGGCGTAGATGGCACAGCAAGGGCTGCATGTGGTGCCAAAGGGAAGAACTTGCCATTCATAGATCTTTGGCTCCTCTGTTCTCTTCATGTCCCGCCAAATGAAGCGCAGAACAGGTTTGTCAGCTGGCAAAAGGCGAATCTGGTGGAACATACCTTTAATATCCCCACTCACTGCAACTGGGTATTGACGAAACCGTATGAGGACTCCTAACAGAGATGGGCCTAGGGCAGGTCCAGGAAGAAGAAGGTCGTTGAGAGACTTTCCTCCATACTGAAAGGAGCAGTTGAACACAATCCTGTCTTTATTGTTATGTCGCACCATGTGGTGTGGTATAAACCAGGATTCTAGAGTTGATGTTGCTGCCTCTGTTGGTACCACTGCTACGTAGCCCATCTTCTCTAGTTTATGGATCTCTTGACAGTAGACCTCTGCACGCTGTGGGTCTTTGGCGAGTCTTCTCTCTGTACTACGAAGACTTGGCAACACTGCTTCCATAGGAGCCTGAAGGATGGTGGAGTTGGCTCGGCGAAGCAGTGGTGTAGCATATCTTTGTACTCCTTCAACATTTACCCTGACAGTGGATGTCTGGAGCAGGTTTAAGGCTTGCTGATCTTGCTTTGATCGGGTGACCTGCTTCTCACTTGTGTATGGCAGTGTGTCAATCTGCCAGAGGCGTTCAACGTTCTTGAAGAGTTCAGAGGAAGGCGATACTGTTGCTGTAAGCAGGCACTGCTGGTTGGATCCAGGAACTTGGTCAAAGCTGGTGGGACCTTGAAGTGACCAGCCCAGTTTGGTATGGACTGCGATAGGCCCCCCAAGGGGTCCCAATTGGATCGGCTCTATCGGTGTCAGGAGATGAGCCATGTCAGATCCAATTAGTAACAAGGGTTGAGCGTGATCAACAGGAGGCAATGGTATGTGCTGGAGGTGTTTATATCTCTTTTGGAGGGTTCTCACTGGATATGAATGTTCTGAGAGACTAAGATTCTCAGCTGTGAATGCATCACTTATGTAATACTTCTCTTCAGGTTTAGGCAGTGGAGAAACATAGAAGGCAACAGATGCACCATGAAGCTGTACCACATCCTGGTGAACAGTTCGGAGGGTAAGTGTTTCAGGCCGCATGGTGATATTCAGGTGTTGCACAGCCTGTGGCAAAATGATGCTTCGCTCCGAACCATCATCCAGAACTGCATAGGTCTCTAGTACTCTGTCTTGATTATGGAGTAGGACCTTTACAACTTTTAACATCACCTTGGGAGATCTGTTTGGTCTGTCCAGGTACACCTTTTCAGTCGGAGCCGTCACCATGAAGACGCTCTTCTGAGTTTGCTGGACTGCATCGTGTAATACTGTGAGATGTTGCTCTTTGCAGGTATTGCACGGTCGCTTGAGGGTGCAAAACTCTGGTTTATGAGATCGTCCACACTTCCAACATCGATGTTCATCCTGTATCCACCTCACAACCTGGTTGATGTTCAATTTCTTGAACTCTGTGCAGGCATTTAAGAAATGTTCTTTACTGTCACAGTGAGGACAATATGGTTTGGGCTTGGATGAGGGCTTTGGCGGTGAAGACTTTTGTCCTTTGGGGCTTTGGTCTCCACTGGCAGTGAGGAGGAATGCTGTTGACTTCACCTTTGATCGGTTGAAGGGACGTTGGTCGTTCTTCAGTGGCTTGGGAGCTTCATAGTTATAAATCGAAGCTGCTCGACCTGCTATGCGTTTAGCTTGGGATTTCATCTGTAACCAGGAACTCAGATCAGGTAAGGTGTAAGTTTGGTCAATACCTGTCCTAAGAATACCTTGGTTCAGACAGTGTTCCACAAACCCATCACGGTAGCTGGGAGGCATCTTGCTCAGCAGTCGGTCAACATGAGATCCACATCGCAGCTCGTAGCCGTTCTGACCCTCCAGGGTCCTAAGCATGCCTACTAGTGATTGGATAGATAGGGCAAATGCATCAAATGCTTCAGAGTCACCAAACTTGAGTGCTGGAGCATTTAGGATGGCACCCAGTTCACTTTGGACGAGCTGACGGGGTTGACCATACTTATCTTGTAAAGCCTGCATAGCTGCTGTATATGGCCTTGGATCATACATGAAGGCTTTAGCCAGCTGAAGCGCGCTCTGCAGCTTCAAATGTCCAAGAAGCACTTGATATTTGTACTGCTCGTTCAGGTGAACATGGCTGTTCAGAAGATTGTCGAGCGCTATCTTAAGTAGAGCAAAGTCGCTTTCTTTGCCGCTCTCAAAGAAAGGAATCATAGGTTTGGGTATACCATAGGAAGGAGAAAAGAGTTGAGAAACATCAGCTGCCTGTGGTTGTTGTGGACTGGATTGAGGCAAGGCTGAAGGGTAGGACGCTGTTTGGACAGGATATGTTATTGTTGACTGAGTCGGCTGATGCTGCGCTGGATAAATTGAGTATGGAGCAGGGACTAGGTTGTAGTCCACCGCCGCTAAACCAGGAAGCATAGATGAACAGGCTGACTGTAATGGTGGATGAAGAGGTGAGGGTGGACATTGCCCTGGAGGCGGAGCCACGCTCACTGTAGGTGGAGCTGCAGGATGCAGAGCTGGGACAGTGAGAGGCAGAGCTGCACTCACCAGTGGTGGAGCTGCAGTCTGCGGAGCTGGAACAGTGAGAGGTGTAGTTACACTCACCGGAGGAGGAGCCGGGGCTACAATGGGCTGAGCTCCATGGAGCATGGGAGGCGTAGACACAATCACTGGTGGCAAAGCTGAGGCCGTGGTAGGTAGAGCTGCATGAAGTACTTGAGGCGGAGCTACAATTACTGAGGGTGGAGCTGCAGCTGTAGGAGGCAGAGCAGGACGTTGCTTTGCTGCAGGTGGAGCAATAGCCATGGGAAGAGGAGCTGGAGTTGGCTGAGGCATAGGGTTACTTATGTTGTGCTGATCTGGTGGATGTGGGGAGGATCCGGTGTCACCAGAATCTTGGGATCTCACTTTGAGGAGAGAAGTAACCATTTTAGCTATCTCCAGCTCATTACATTTCTTCTTTAGCTGGCGTCGTTTCTCCATCTGTCTTGCCAGCAATTCTTGTGCTCTGATGGCTTCCTCTTGTAGCTGTTGGGCTTCTCTGGCTTGAATTTGAAGCCTCTGACGCTCGTTATCAACTTGTTGATCCTCCTCTATTGTCTGCTGTAATTCCTCAAGCTCCATTTCCTTCACTCTTTCTTCAAGTTGAGCTGTGTCTAGCTCTGATAAGATGTGAGAGGAGAATCTGCTGGTGGTTGAGCGAGATGAGCAAGATGAGCATCTAGACCTGGGGTTGGAGCTCCTCCGAGACATGTCTGTTTTCCGGCTATGTGAACTCTGGATGGATGGAGCTGGGTGTGTGGTGTGGGTTTGTCCCTCTGAAGGGAGAGTTGCAACCACATAGTCACTCAGGTAAGCTGGTGGATAACGCTCTCTCTGCGAAGCACGTTGGCGTGCTGGCTCAGTGTGGGCATCTGCAGGATCCATACCTTGATATTACTCTAATCCGGCTCGAAGGACCATGAAAAGGAGATGAGGTGTTCTCCAGGAGTTAACTGGTTTAGAGCGGCAAGGTGTATGGAATGTGTCCCCGTTAAAAGACACGGAAGCAGATGTCTGGTTTGTTGTAGATTTACTGTGGTTCTTCTGACATGTACACACAGCAAGTCCAGTTAGTAAACACATACAAATGAAGAATTTCAGGAAAAAACAGGAAATAATGAGCTTTACACTGCTGTATCAGCAGGAAAAACGTTCAGCCATCTCACTTGCAGGTGTGGTGTGTTCAATGAAGCTTCGAACACTTATGGTGCGTTCATGAGCGTCGGACATATGACATCTCACCGAAAACACAGTATAAATGAACAGTTTCCAACAGAAAAACATCTAAACAACATGGACTTTCTAACAATAGATGATACAAAACTTTTTAACAGAGTGGTTTATAAGACAGACAGGATGCAGATAACTGTTAACACATTAACAGTAAACTAACTTAAGAGTCCCCTACTTCTCCATTTTATGGAAAAAAGTCACAAAAACAAAAGAAACTGATAAAAACAGAACTTTTTTTGTCTGAGGCATCAGCTTCAGTAAGCAGCTCACCTGACAGGGAGAACATCTGGTCCAGAGACACGCACTGGTAGAGAGACGGGGAGACCACGCACTCAGCCCACAGGCCGCGGGAGCCCAGCTCGTCCATGCGCAGGCAGGTGGCCACCGAGTAGTCGCACGTGCGGACCCAGTCATTGGTCGCGGTGGCGAAGATGAGCCCGACCCAGCCTGCGCAGCTCCCCCCGATGCCAATCAGCTGCCTGCAAATGTGCGCCATGGAGCTCCGCTGTGCGTCTTTACGCGTTCCAAAGAATATGAACAAGCGGCGAGTTTTTCCACTTTCTTTCCTGAGCTATATCTTTTTTCTGTCTGCCAGAAAACACTGTCTTAAGATGCTTAATTAATAATTTCAGTGGAACTATTTTCTTAATTTAGAAAAACTAAAAGGTAATATTCTTCTAAGCGGAAAAAAGATGCTTTCAAAAGGAATTTAGGAGCTGTTTTCCAGTGTTCCGTTATATCGCTTTATCCACAAGGGGAAAAAATTGATAGAATAAGATTTACTTCAGGGTGTGGCGCAAACCTGCCCCCTCCTCCAAGCCAATGAGAGAAAATCCACATCCTAACAGGAACCAGATGGAGAAAAGAAGGGGGAAGCTCATGCAGACTGATCAAGGTATCAGGAGGCAGAAATTCTCAGGAAGGAACTCTGAGACATGAATTTAAATCAGTTTGGTTGATATGCAGCACATTTCACCTCATGGATATGACTTCCACCATAACCTTTTAAAAAAATGAATCTGGTTTGATCGTTTTGTTGGGTGCAGTGGTCATTCTGCATTCCTTAAAGAATCAAGAGCAGCAAACAAGACTAGCATTTAGGTTAAAAACCATCAGCAAGAAGAACCCTATCACGTGCTGTTCATAACAATCAGCAAACACCTGACATTTGACCATGTTTTTAAGTGAGTTGAATTAAACTAGTCTTTAGTTTGTAGTTTTCAGATTTTCACCAGGATGTGAGTCAGGGTCGTTGCAGAGGATCCATGTCAAGCAGATTTATCAGTTCCATCAAGGTTTAGTTGGATGTTTGGGAAATTTATCTTCCTGCAAGACCAAAGTGAAAGTTAAAACTGAATGGAATTTATGTAAATCAGTCGCCTGAGCATGATACAGCTACCACCGTGCTTTACAAAGCTTCCATTTGCTCCGCCTTGTGGATCTCACCCAACAACATAGGCGTATGGACCTTTTTTAGGGGTGCTGAAGCACCTTTAAATTGAATCATAGCACCCATAAAATATGGTTGTTGTTTTTTTTTTTTTGCATCAGTGGTGGCTGGTGGAACTTTCTCCAGGGGGAGATATAAATTCAAAATAGACGTTTACCAAAAACCACTTAAGTGTATACTAAGCTATAACACCAGTATATTTATATGCCAACAACAAAAAAACAAAAACTTTTATAAAGACAAAATATAATTTCATGTACGGGTTTACTTTTGGTACATAAATCTTGCCCTTCTGAGGCTTTGTGAATGTTGGGAGCTGGAGAAGTTCCATCTTTCTCCAGCAGAGTCCGCCATGGATCCTCCTGAGCTGAGCCTTCGACACACCTGAGGCCCATCTCATCATCAGAGGATCCACAGTATATAACCTGCCTTCAGACCTTGCCTCGACGCCGCAGTGTTAAATCCAGTTGGTTAGCACCTGAGCCTAGCATCTTCTGAGAACCTTTGTTGCTCTTGAATCCAGACTGGATTCTAATCCTTTTGTCTCTGCTTCAGGAATCCTGTTTTTCTCTTGTGAGCTCTGGATGAGCTTAACCTGCCGAGCCTGCCCTCTGAGCCAAACCTGAAGACTCTTCTCTGGATTCCCATGCAGCTCTGGACTAAGAGCTGGAAACCCAAGGCCAAGGTCTGCCCTCACGCTAGAAGTAAGACGCTGAATCAGTTATCGGACTCTGCTGAACTAAACAATCTCTGGACCCAACAGTTCCTCCCTCAAAGCCTAAACCGGACTTCTCAAGGTATAAACCTGAAACTCTCTAAATCAAACTCAACTGCGTCCAAGCTAACTGAACTATCTCCCATACAGACTCCAGTGAACCTGCCCCCAGGCCTGAACCAGTTCCAGTGTTATTTCCATGTGCTTGTGAACAATAAACTTGTTAAACTTTTCTTCAGTCTCCGTGGTGTTCTGCATATTGGGCTTTTCAGTAACCCATCATGACAGTGAAGGTAAATCTGTGTTTTGAATAGTCCAATATTGACACAAACCTAAAAAAAAAATAAATTACCAGTTTAATAATGGAGCAGCTATTAATCAGTTTTATATTTTTTAATATATAAAACTGTCTGAGAATGTTTTTATTTAAGTGCAACTATGCAAATTAACAAACATCTAGGAAAGGTTCACTATATTATATTTTCCATGTGAATCCCAGATTGTTTAATCTTCTTTGCCTTTTCTACAAAGTGCTTTAAATCAGTCCTACTTGCCTTTATCCATGCTGGCTCAGATCCTGATGATTGAAAAAGGAGGCAGGGAAAGCAGAAAAAAGCAAACTTCTGTGCTGTGGCAGGAGGTGGTGAGCAAATACACTGAGAGTGCCCGAGCTCTCCTATCCCTCTGTATTGCAGAGGAGCTACTGCGTCTGTATAACTTTTAAAGAGAGTCAATGGGCAACGATTCTTGCGTCCTAGGCCAGAAATACGCCACCAATCTGATTAAAAATGGAATGACCCTTTACTAGTAATTAAAGATTAAATATGTATCTTGCACATCTAAAAAATACATATTACTATAGTTCGATATATTTTAAATGTTAATTTAATATTAAAATATATACTTTTTTATGTCTTGATCAAGGTCATTCGGTGGGTGGGCCGGCACCCTGGTGCCCTCTATTAGCCAGCCGCCACTGTGTTGTATACATTTTTTAAATTGGAAAGAGTAAAACAAAAACATACCAAATATAGAACAGTCTGAAATCTTTACAGAACATGGATAAATAAATAAAAAATAGAGAGTTTCAGATCTGGAGCAGGGGATTATTTGAAGGTCTGCAGCCCCTCAGTCCATGAGGATGTTAACCTGGCTTCACTCTGGACAGAAACACTGCAGTCTTGGTGGCTCCTGGTGTTTTCCTGAACTAGATGCATGGTATCTGAGGGTGAAAGAACTTGGAAATCTGAGTAAAACATGTCATTTTATTCTAATGTATATTTTCGAGAACCAATTAACTTTGAAATCCGCAGCTGTTTAGACTTGGCACCAAAATACTTAATGATCTACATTAAAAATTAAAGCATTTGATTGTTTGTTTCTTCAAAAATCATTGGCATGTGTTTAATGCTCAGTCCAGCCTGGAAAACAAGATATTAAAATAACATTTTGAAACTTTATTAGTACAATTTGACGATTAAAAAACCAGTCTTTGTTGGGATCTGGAGCTGTACCACCTTCCTCCAGCAGAGTGCGCCGTGGGTCTCCTGGAGCTGGAGTCTTCCAGCACACCTGAGACGCATCTACTCATCAGGAGACCTCTCCTTTATAACCAGCTGCCAGACCTTGCTTCGACGCCGCAGTGTTGACCTTAGTTTGGTTAGCAACCTGAGCCTTGAACCTGAAGAATCTTAGTTGTCTCTTGAGAGAGAACAGATTCTAACTCTCCTCTGTTTTTGCCTCACAGGAAACCTGTCTCTAGCCTGAAGCTCTGGGCGAGCTTAACCTGCCAAGTCTGCCCCAGAGAGCCTAACCTGAAGATTCCTATGTGGATTCCCCTGCTGCTCTTACTGAAGAGCTGGAAACTCTGATCAAGGTCTGCCATTCAAGTCAGAAGCTAGACGCTGCAGCTGCTCGTGTACTCTGCTGAACCAACAGTCTCTGGACCCAACGGTTCCCTCTCTCTCTCAAAGAGAAGCCCGGACTCAGTCAAGGTATAATCCTGAATTATCAAAGACTCATAAATCATCTGCCTGCCTTCTAATCAAACTATCATCTCTGCAGACTTCAGTGAACCAGCCCGGACCAGTTCCTGATCCAGTACATTATCTTGTGTTTTGTGAAACGTTCAATAAACTCTGTCAAACTTTTACCCAGCCTCCGTTGTGTTCTGCATATGGGCTAAGAACCTTAAACCCATCATGACAGTCTTTCAGAATTTGAGCCCGATGAATCCTGGCATTGTCGTCTTGGAATATGTCTGTGCCATCAGGGAAGAAAAAGTCCATTGATGGAATAACCTGGTCATTCAGTATATTCAGGTAGTCAGTTGACCTCATTATTTGACCACATACTGTTGCTGAACCTAGACCTGACCAACTGCAGCAACCCCAGATCATAACCCCGCCCCCACAGGCTTGTACAGTAGGCACTAGGCATGGTGGGTCAATTCACCTGTCTCTCTTCTTACCCTGATTGGTCCATCCCTCGGGAACAGGGTAAATCTGGACTCATCACACCACATGACCTTCTTCCATTGCTCCACAGTCCAATCTTTATGCTCCCTAGCAAATTGAAGCCTTTTTTTCTGGTTAGCTTCACTGATTAGTGGTTTTGTTATGGCTACACAGCTGTTCAGTCCCAATCCCTTGGGTTCCCTTCGCATTGTGCATGTGGAAATGCTCTTACTTTCAGTATTAAACATAGCCCTGAGTTCTACTGTTGTGTTTCTTCTATTTGATCTCACCCCACGTTTAAGTGATCGCTGATCGCAATCATTCAGGATTTTTTTCCGGCCACATTTCTTCCTTGAAGATGATGGGTCCCCACTATCCTTCCAGTTTTTAATAATGCGTTGGACAGTTCTTAACCCAATTTTAGTAGTTTCTGCATCTCTCTAGATGTTTTCTCTGCTTGATGCATGCCAATGATTTGACCCTTCTCAAACATCTTTTCCACGACCACGGGATGTGTCTTTCGACAAGGTTGTTTAGGAAATGAGAAGCAAGTCATTGCACCAGTTGGGGTTAAATAACTTGTTGCCAGCTGAAAGATAATCACCCATGCAGTAATTATCTAATAGGAGGCTCGTACCTATTTGCTTAGTTGAATCCAGGTGGCGACTTTTTTTTTGGCCAGGGAGTGTAAAATGACAATATAATTACAAGTTTTTAAATCAAAAATGTTTCTTTTTCTTTTAAATTAGTGAATCATTTATCTCTTTTCCTTTTATTTCATCTAGTAGGAGGTTCTGATGGATTTGAGTGAAGCAACAGAATCGTCTCTAATGTAAAACACTGAAAAAACGCCTGCCTTACTGCAGAGACACGTCCAAACAATGAAACAATCATTCTATTTGATTAATTCTTCATTTATTAAATAATTTCAAGCAGGATATCATAAAAATGTGACGACTGAAGACACCGCTCTCTACCCTGATAGCCACTGTTCTCTCTTTTCAACCGATAGACGTATTTTGTCCAGAATATGTTGATAGAAAACATGAAACTTTAATGAATCACACAAAATCTACAGATCTCTATCTTCCTTTTCTTCCTCCTTTTAACATTCACACAGCCACACTCCCACACACTGGTTATGTTAGCTACGGGGATAGATTTGTCATCGACGTCACACTCTAAAAAAACTAAATAGACAAATTTCATATATTAAATGTTGAAAATCCTTCATGAAATAGCTTGAAATGTACACTCTCCAGTGGCATGTAAAATATACAGAAAGGTACAAAAGCTCTCTGTGTTTCCTGCTACACTCAGCTGCAGACAGATGAGTTTCTGCTCGTTCTGCTCCCATAAGGCCATGCCTTTATTAGAACGTCATAAATTATAAATTACCGACATTTTCCTCTTTTTGTGACTTTTTTCTGTCATCCTTGGTGTCAGCTTCCGACCTGTTGTAACCAAAGATTTTCTCTCTTGTTTATTGCCCTCTGAAGTTCTCCCTTCTCCAGGTTTGGCTCTGTCTCTTTTCACTGGTTTTTCAGAGCGTTGATGTGAGCGCAGATCTTGAGGGCAGGGCCCAGCTTAATGTTCATGCTGGTCATCAGGTGGTCCTCAGTTAGCAGCAGCAGAGCCTGCCCGTCGATTTCCTGCATCCTGAAGGCCTCGGCCACGTCACCGCACCCTGAAAGAGAACAGAAACATCCACAGTCATTGGGGGGAAGAACATCTAATCTAATGCAAAGCCGAATAAAAATGTTTTCCAAACTGCTGCTTTATATTAAAGGGAACGTTTGTAACAAATCTGGCTTTTTAGCCAAAATCAAACATTGCTTCAATAAATTGATATACTAATAATATCATCATCAAAGAAAGCTTTCTCATAGCTTAGGATTAGTGTGCTGGTGGAGATTCTCAGTCATCCAGATCATAGTCATTTAAAAAAAATAATAAAAACAATCCATTGGACTTTTTTTCAAAGTTTGAAAACGTTTCACTTCCCATCCAGGAAATTTTTTCAAATGCAAAATGTCAGAAATGGCATTGAGTTTCTGGCTTTATAAAGTGGATCAATACAAAGCTGTGTTTTGGCTTAGAAAACATGCAAATTGAACCTGACGAGTAAGTCCGCCCCTTAGTATTGGGGGTTGATTGGTTTCTTTTTTTTGTTAGCCTGTAATACCCCGTACCGATCTCAGGGGGTGTTGTTAAAGGGAATTGTTGGCCTGGCTGAAGAGGTGATGTTCTCTGTAAAGGGATGGGCTGTGGGCCTGAGTGGCAGGCTGTGGGAGTGGGTTTCAAACTCAGAACCTCAGGATTCCAAGCTCTATGCCCTAACCACTTAGCCTGACGTAGTCCGACTCAATTCTAGTCAGAATATGAGTCTGATACTGCTCCATAGAGCTGTGATTATGGGGCGTGTTTTGAACGAACCAGGAAAAAAAAATGCCTCTGCACTCAATTGGATAGACCTACAACCAATAAGAGCAACGGAGTGCGTGACGTATGTTAAGCGAGGCATAGTTGTTGTCCACAAAAATCAAAGCGTGCAGTTTCACGCCTATAATAAGAAGATGAGACTTGATCGCTTTTCTCTGTTCCTCTTTTAAAATTAATTTGCTGTCGATATCTTCTAGAACAGACCTAATAGCAGAATCTACTCACCTCAACTCTCCAGTGGCAGCCATTGTTGTTGTCACCCAAGCGCGCATTGGTCACATGGTTGATTACGTTACTGTTGACCATCTGTCCATCATCGTATAAAGCCCGCCCTGACAATTTGATTGGATCGCCTGACAGTGGGCGATAATACTCGCGCTACTATGGAGCAGAGCCAGACCGAACTTCTCGACCTCAAACTTTGTGGGCGGGACTAAGTTCGGAATGGCACCCAGGCTACTAACCACTAGGCCACCATCCCCCTTCGTGAAAACAACTATGATTCCAAAGTAAAAATCTGTACTTCATGTTCTGATAAATAAGTGTATCTTATCCGCACGATCGGTATATAAGGCACATTAAAGCTCTATTCTTTGTTTTTTACCTATTTTCTGTATATTAGCCTGACTTTGTACTTCTTTGATGCAACTTTTCCTTCTCTTGCCCCTCCTGTTGTTTATTAAATCTGTTTTCACAAAGTTCATTTTCTCTGTAGTGAGTTCAATAAAGTCATATCTCATCTTAATGCAAAGTTTGCCAACTTTAAGAGTAAAACTTAAATGTTTAGGTTTAGGTTGTAAACCTAAACATTTTCTGAACTTGGTTGCCTTAATATTTTGAGTTCTTTCTACTTTTCTCTTTTTTACAGTGTGAGAATGTCCCCTCCATTCAGAAAGAGGAGAATGTCCGTCAATGGCTTCCGCAGCAGGTCCCAAGTCTGTTGTTTGTAATTCACTTAGTGCGCAACTAGATGGGGGTAAATGTGACAGATGAACCAGGAGAGGATATATAGAGGAGGTTTAAGGTAGTTATATTTACCTCTGGAACAGGTTTTCTATGAGTAATTACAGCACGGTCAGGACTTTATAGTAGCAGCATCAATGCCCACCATCTGGCTTTCTGGCAGTTCAACAGTGCTGCCAGTAGATGGTGACACGTCTGTTTATGTAAGCTCATGGCACCCAGTGCTGAGGTTCTATTGCTGCTCAAAAAGGATGATCAGAAGACCATCAGGACGGACGCTTATAGCCTTATATGATCAACTAGCTTTTGGTCTTTTTACGTATAGGCAAATAACTATGGACCTTTAAGGTTAAAGGTCACAAACGGTTAAACAGAAAAACACCAGACCAGTCTGGCTGTTTGAAAAGGATCAATTAGAAGGCCTTGTTTCCCTAAAAACAAGATGGCAGCACGATGTAGGTTGGTAAAATTGTACTTCCATGAACAAAGGATTTCCAGAGCAATAATCTTGATAAACACTCAATAAACACCGATGGGGAAAAAAAGAGATGTTTAGAGATGAACACAGCATATCAAAATCTGCAACAGTTAAGCATGGTGGTGGGTTGGTGGTTTTGAGGCCTTTCATTGAAATGACTTATGAACCTCTCTGTATAACAAAGGATTACAAAGTGAATCAAATTATTGCCGCTGCTGATGGTTCTGCAGACTGTTCGATCGTGGCCATTTCTAGATGGATTTTCCCTTTGGGCTTCATTTTTGTTGAATATTAACATTAATGACATCGTGGGTGGTTCTAGAGAGGGGCCATCTGGGCCCCTTAAGAACTGGGCTCCTGTTATGACCCCTATACCAAAGACATAATACAAAATAAATATTAAAATAAATGAACTAAGATATACACTCACTGGCCACTTTATTAGGTACACCTGTCCAAATGCTCGTTAACACTTAATTTCTAAGCAGTCAATCACATGGCGGCAACTCAGTGCATTTAGGCATGTAGACATGGTCAAGACAATCTCCTGCAGTTATAACCGAGCATCAGTATGGGGAAGAAAGGTGATTTGAGTGACTTTGAACGTGGCATGATTGTTAGTGCCAGAAGGGCTGGTCTGAGTATTTCAGAAACTGCTGATCTACTGGGATTTTCACGCCCAACCATCTCTAGGGTTTACAGAGAATGGTCCGAAAAAGAAAAAACATCCAGTGAGCGGCAGTTCTGTGGGCGGAAATGCCTTGTTGATGCCAGAGGTCAGAGGAGAATGGCCAGACTGGTTCGAGCTGATAGAAGGGCAACAGTGACTCAAATAACCACCCGTTACAACCAAGGTGGGCAGAAGAGCATCTCTGAACGCACAGTACGTCGAACTTTGAGGCAGATGGGCTACAGCAGCAGAAGACCACACCGGGTGCCACTCCTTTCAGCTAAGAACAGGAAACTGAGGCTACAATTTGCACAAACTCATCGAACTTGGACAATAGAAGATTGGAAAAACGTTGCCTGGTCTGATGAGTCTCGATTTTTGCTGCGACATTCGGATGGTAGGGTCAGAATTTGGCGTCTACAACATGAAAGCATGGATCCATCCTGTCTTGTATCAACGGTTCAGGCTGGTGGTGGTGGTGTCATGGTGTGGGGAATATTTTCTTGGCACTCTTTGGGCCCCTTGGTACCAATTGAGCATCGTTGCAACGCCACAGCCTACCTGAGTATTGTTGCTGACCATGTCCATCCCTTTATGACCACAATGTACCCAACTTCTGATGGCTACTTTCAGCAGGATAATGCGCCATGTCATAAAGCTGGAATCATCTCAGACTGGTTTCTTGAACATGACAATGAGTTCACTGTACTCAATGGCCTCCACAGTCACCAGATCTCAATCCAATAGAGCATCTTTGGGATGTGGTGGAACGGGAGATTCGCATCATGGATGTGCAGCCGACAAATCTGCGGCAACTGTGTGATGCCATCATGTCAATATGGACCAAAATCCCTGAGGAATGCTTCCAGCACCTTGTTGAATCTATGCCACGAAGAATTGAGGCAGTTCTGAAGGAAAAAGGGGGTCCAACCCGTTACTAGCATGGGGGTACCTAATAAAGTGGCCGGTAAGTGTAGAAAACACTAATTATAGATACCTCTATTCCATCCATCAATCCATTTTTTGTCACGCTTATCCTAAGCGGGTCATGAGCGTGCCTATCTCCAACTGTCTACGGGTGAGAGGTGGGGTACACCCTGGACAGGTCACCAGACCAACATAGGGCATCACAGAGACAAACAGGGTAAACAACCATTCACACACATACTCACACCTAAGGAGAATTTAGAGAAGCCAGTTAACCTCACAGTCAAGTTTTTGGACTGTGGGAGGAAGCCGGAGTACCCGGAGAGAACCCACACATGCTCAGGGAGAACATGCAAACTCCACGAAGAAAGACCCCAGGTCGGGAAACAAAACCATAACCTTCTTGTTAAGGAGCAATTCTTTTAATTTATCTTCACTATTTTATTTCATTAATGATTTAACAATGACATTGCTCCATTTTAGCTTCATGCATTTTGGAATATGATCCTAGATTTCAGCTGCTAGATCAGAGGTTTTCAGAGCTCAAAGTGGCCCTTTGGTTCACTTAATATATTAAAAGTATGAACATTTGCCCTGTTTTTTGTTTTATTCTTTTATTTAGTTCCCCCATAATAAAAAAAAAATGCCCCCACACTTGGTCTGAATCTGATTTAGAAGCACCACAGAATGACATATATAAGAGGTGAATCTGGCTCTTGTAGAGTTTTAGGACCTGTAGAGACCAAATTTCTGCTTGGAACAGTTTAAACTCAGTTCGGCTGATGTTTAGATGAACATTCGGGTTTTTGCTATAAGCACATCTCATTCTGATAGTGATTATGAGTTCTCTAGGAGAACTACTTTTTTCCAACAAATGGACATGTTTTCAGCTGTAATAGGATCTCTGTCTCGTTTTGTTCTCAGGTGCCTCTTTAACGGCTGTTTTACTGATATCCTCACAGCCCTTGTCCTTCTATGTAAACAAGATCTAAGCTCATATAACGGAGTCTATTCAGTTAAACTTTGTTTGCTGATAACAACAGCTAATTAAAAAAAGCTGCAAGACCTGAAAACGGTTAGAGGAGTCAGATTTGGTGGATTTTATCACTGAAGGTTTATCTTTTTTCCAGCCGTTGCTCAATGAGGCCGACAGTTTGTGGTTAGAGAGATGTAAATTACCTCAGTCTGCAGCTGGTTTAGAGGTTTTTGCGAAACGACTAATTGGATGATTGGATCCAGGAAAACAGTCTCCATCATCTGCTGACTGTTCAAACTTTAGACGTAAATCAAGCTGCTGGTTCCACAGCGTCTCAGCAGGAGCGCCACACGCAGCCCGTTTCTGGCGTGGGAGGAAACTCACCCGGCAGCGTGTGGATGAAGGCCGTCACCTCCTCCACGCTCCACTGGGACGGGGCGGGGCGTAACGTGGTGGTGTGCGTCGACGCCGAGACGGCGGGGGCAGACGCCCTCCTCGCTCTCCGGGCTGCTCGCCTCTCCATCCTGGCTACCATGGCAACAGCAGGATCCTCCTCCCCTCCATCATCATCGTCTTCCTCCGCCTCCCCAAAGACATGTGGAGACTCCTGCGTGTCTGTGTCTTCCTCCTCATCCTTCTGCTCCACTACTGCCGCAGTCGCTGGCTTCTCTTTCCCGTCCTTCTCGCGCCGCCCGGCGCTCCAAAGGTCCCGAGGCTGCAGAAGGTCGAGGGTAGGTGAGAGACGGACGAGTTCATTCATTATTTAACTTCAAACTGGTTTCGTTTTCTAAAAAACTGTCATTTGAATCCTTCTGAACCATGAAACATTTTCAGACTAAACAGTGAATTGATCCAAAGTTACTCTGGAGAATGTAAGAATAATAAAAAAACTATAAACTGTATAAACAACAAAAAAACATGTACAAAAAGTTAAAATAAATACAAACATAAAACTAAAATAACATTTAAAAAAACAAGCAATATAACAAAGATGTTCGAATATTAATAAATAAGAATGTAATATTTCAAATAAAACCAATAATTTTATATTATTTATATTGTATTTCAACAGAAAGATATATCATTTGATAATAAAAGTTATTTAAAGTTCTATACTTTTACAAAATAAGCATTTACAATAATCAAAGTTTTTTTACATAAATTTTTTTTAATCATGTTCTCTGGCATATATTTTTTAAAATTGAAAAAATATTCAAAATGTTAATTATTGACTTATATTAAGTTAAAATAACTACCCTTTAAGTCACAGCATAAATCATTTTTATCCTTCTAATATAAATTAATTCTTCAATGTTTGTTTTTAATAATCAGAGACAGAAAAACAGGCAAATCCAAAATATTTTGATTACAAAATCTAAAATATGCATCAAATTCTCTTTAGTATTTTAGTAAAATAAAATGCCATGCCATACTTTATTTATAAAGCACCTTAAAAAAGCTGCAATTGCAACAAAGTGCAAAGTAAGAGCATGTACCTTTGTCCATGGCATACTGCATATTAAATGAGTAGCTGAAAGTTAACTGTTATAAAGGGAATTTATTTTTTTTAAGTATCCGAAATGTCAATAATGATCTAAAGGTAGAGGAACATGCCATTACAAACTACACCACCAGAGGGAGCAAACTTCCCACATTTCCTTTTTCTACTTGGGAAGTAGATCTCAAAGAGATCAATGCATTGGAATCATTAAATGGTTACAACTTTTTCTCCTAAAGTAGAAAAAACAAACATACATATTAGAGTAAAAGCTAATTGCCAAAAATAGCTAAAACTGTAAGTACTGTCACAGCCTGAAGGATTACACCAAAACCACAGGAACCAAACAATTTATTTATATCCCAATCCCCAATCCCTGTTTTGCCACTGAATGTTGTTATGCATGCAGATCATACTTTTGTGTATTTAATCGAGTAGATTGACAATTTCCGGGTTTTAATGTGTACTTGACTGGTACAGCGTTGTTATGTGTTAGGTATAGAGATGGCTGTTCCTACCAAGCGCAGCAGCAGTGGTTTCCCAGGTACCGACTCCGCCCGGTTCAGAGTGGGACGGGGCCTCTCGGATCGGCTGCCTGCACTCAGGGCCCTCAGGCGCTTTGTCAGCCGGACGTTGAACCTGAGAAAGAAACCCAGAGGTGTTAACACAGGATAGGTCGAGACCTTGTTGTTCTGCTGCTCTGATTCAGACTGAGATCTACATAGACACCTGTTCTTCTCTGCATGGTCACCACATAACCACATCCTGCCAAACCCACTACCACTGCTAGGACTCCAGAAGTACTCATCAAATGTGTCTCTGCAGCCGAGGTAGGAACTTATTTGCTTAATGTTTTTATATATTTATGAAATTTTTAAAAGGGGTCTAAATGACTGCACTTATTTCATATTTCAGGGAATAAATCAGTAAACTCCTAAAAATATTTTCAGTTTTCTTCCCATTAAAGCCCTCCTGTGTTCACTTGTTGGACCACAGGTTGGGAATCACTGCTAAATGGTGGCGTGATGTCTGTCCCATTAGACTTTTTTCCAAGGATATATGGAAAAAAATGCAGCATCAAGGAGACGACAAACGGTAGTTAAAAGCCTTCAGCCACAGTTGTGATTGAAATTAAAAAGTGAGATCATACATCTCCTTTCTTAGCTTCTCTTAATTGTTTTCCAGTTAAATCCAGAGTAGAATTTATAATCCTCCTTCTGCTCTGAGATCTGATAATTCTTTATATCCCTAAAAAAGTCACTTCACTCTCAATCTGCAGGTTTACAAGGGGTTTCTAGAATTTCCAAATGTAGAATGGGAGGCAGATCTTTTAGTTATCAGGCTTAAATCTTCCCTTTCAGTTAAAGCTTATAGTTAAAGTGTCTCAGGTTATCCTGAGCTGTCTCTATAGTTATGCTGCTAAAGGCTTAGACTGCTGGAGGACATAGGGACCCTTGTTATCTGCCTCATTCTATTTCAATCTCTAACGTTCTGCTCTCTCTGCTTTTTCTCATAGTAGCTTCATCTGCTCTGTTCCTGTTTGGCTGTGACTCCATCCTGGAGAGTAATATCAGCTGGGCTGCTGCCATCAACATCTTTGGTCATAGATTGCAGAGTTGGACCTGCTTTTCAGTGCTTAGTCCTGTTTCTATCCTGAATATAGCTATGGGCTCAGTTTTACTAACCGTGTGTGCTCTCTTTCATCCCTTTGACATGAAAACTGGTTCAGAGCTCGTCCGGATAACAGCATCTTTCCCAGATAGAATCACCTGTGGAGCTATTTTATTACTACCTTTTCAGACAAGGAAAAGCAGTTATCGATCAGTGCTTTCACGTTGCTTTGTCTGCTTGTCGACCCATGTTGGCCTCAGCAGAAGGCCATTTACACTAAGTCTGGTTGTGTTGAAGGTTTGCTCTTGTTGAAACCAGTGAATATCTTCACCAAAAGCTCATCCAGGAGGAGCGTGTTTTGAAAGTGGATGACTTGATGCAATCAGCTGGATTTCCTTTGATAAAAAAGTTGAACCAACGGGACTGTAAGGTCTGGCTGAATTGTATCCATAAAGTGTCTTGAAATGGAATGGGTTGTAAAATGGCGTTATATAAATACGCTGAATGGAACTGAAAGTCAGAAAGAAAAACCTTAAAGGAATAGTACACCCAAAACATGATTAGCCTTCATTTTCTACTCACCCCCATGCTGAACAACACTCTGGAGTACTTTTTTGATATCTCAAATGCATCTGGAGATCTGGGAGGCTTCTTGCTGTCTGCTGACATTCAAATAATGGAGGTCTATGGCGCCTGAGACAGAAAGGTCCATAAAAGTCCACAAAAACGTGTCAGTATTCCTCCATACTGCTCGTCCAATGTATTCCAAGTGTCCTGAGTGGGTAGCGTCCAGAATTTACTCGAAACGAAGTCATTTAGAATGTTTTTAGAGCATAAACAGTAGTGTATAGTATTTCCTTAAAGCGCGTTCACGGCGCTACGGAAACCGTGGCAGACCAAACCGGATGAAAGTGCGCATTCAGCTCGGCAAAGAACTCATGCTCTTCCTCAACACTGAAGTCCTCAGACATTTTTCTTTCGTTGTTTCTTTCTTTGCACAGGTAAACAGCACATTTCTTCTTCTACGCTTGCATTATCGGCAGAGCAGACGCTGAATGCGCACTTTCATCTGGTTTGGTCTGCCGACTTCCGTAGCGTCGTGAACGCGCATGTGCGCGCTTTCAGGAAATACTATACACTACTGTTTATGCTCTAAAAACATTCTAAATGACTTCGTTTCGAGTAAATTCTGGATGCTACCCACTCAGGACACTTGGAATACATTGGACGAGCAGTATGGAGGAATATTGACACGTTTTTTGTGGACTTTTATGGACCTTTCTGCCTCGGGCGCCATAGACCTCCATTATTTGAATGTCAGCAGACAGCAAGAAGCCTCCCAGATCTCCAGATGCATTTGAGATATCAAAAAAGTACTCCAGAGTGTTGTTCAGCATGGGGGTGAGTAGAAAATGAAGGCTAATCATGTTTTGGGTGTACTATTCCTTTAAAGCAGGCATCCCCATAGTTGGTCCTCAGGGGCTGCTGTCCTGCAGGTTTTAGAGGTTTCCCTGCTCCAGCACAGCTGGTTTACATTAATAGTTGATTAACAGGCTTTTGTTGAACTGCAATCATCAGAATCAGCTGTGCTAAAGCAGAGAAACCTCTAAAACCTCCAGGACAGCGGCCCTTGAGGACCGACTTTGAGGATGCCTGCCTTAAAGGATGTCCGGAAAGCCTGAGCAACTGCTGACAAAGACCACTGTTAAAGTTTACAGAACATTCTGGCATCCGAGAAAGAAAAACAATAAAGAAATAATGAATAGAGGAAGCTTAGTACTACAGGTGAGAAACCACAACCTTCTTCCTTCTGCTTATTGGTTTTGTTTTTAAGAAAGAAAGTCTGTCTTACCCGCGGGCACAGGAAGTGGAGCAGAAGCGTTTGGACCGCATGAAGTTGTGAGCGTGGCCTCGTTTCCCACAGAACTGACAATGCAGCACCGTCCGATCTCTGTGGCCTGACTCTGAGCGAGACATAACAGACATGTTCAGGATCTGCTGCGTTTCATGTAGGTGGACACAAGGTGGTTCCTTCAGGCCTTACTGTTCCCAAGCTCACCCGCATCACCGGCGTCCTCTTCCTCTGAATCAGTGGAGGGCTCCGTCTGCTTTATGGGCTCTACTGCTGGCAGCGCCTCTCTTCCATTGGTCCCGTTCACTTCCTGTTTGGGGGCCTGCTCTGGAACCAGCAGGGAGGAACGGTTCACCTGGATGACAGAACACAGGTAGATCAGCGCAGCCCAAAGGTCTACAGGTGTCATCCAGTGACTATTTCCTATTTGATCTCTTATCTAAACTAGAGCTTAACTGTATTCAAATAAGGCTTTTCTGGAGAATTTTTATTTGACTTTGTTACGTTGCCTAAAACTGGCCTGTGATCAGACAACCGTGTTTACCATGCAGCAATAAGTCATAAGAACTAATTATAATTCATAAAATGTGGGGGTTAGCAATTTCACGGATTAAAAAATTAAGAGTCCAATAAATAAATAATCTATAAATTAAATGAAACATCTGCTATCAGTTTTGTTCTCAGTTGTACTTGGAAAAAAAATTCAATTAATTTATAAAATATACGCATAAAAAAACCGTAATGATAAAACTATTTTTCAGGATACGATTTCAGGCATTTTTCAACGCTTTTATATTTGTTCATATAAAAATGATCAGGCAAAACTGTTAGATATGCTGTTTTATGTCTGAGTGTCCTTACAGGAAACGGTTGGAGACCCTCCTGAATGACAAATCCCTCCACCAGGTGAGTAAGAACCTGTCGTCCCTCAGGCCACGCCTTCATTTCCCAGGGGCCGCCCAGAGATTGGCTGAAGCTCTCAGACTCCTCTTCTGATTGGTAGTTAGGTTCAGATTCAGCTTCAGGTGCGTGATGGGAATCTGATGGTGTTTTGTCAGCCTTCGCCGCCCCGTGATGAGTTAGGCTGAGATCAGTTGGGGTGGTGACCTGAGCGGGGAGCAGGGGGGGAGGGTTTTCTGACGAGGTGACGATGAAGGGGGAGGAGGGAGGAGACTGGGAAGAAAGGCTGGACAATGCTGGGAGGAGAAAAAACAGAAATATGATTAACTTAAAAATGTATCATTATATTGTTTAATCTAACCAAATTAGTTTTAACCAACTAGATTGGTTGTTTTTTAGAATATATCCAAACTTTATCCAGCTGACTGCAAATCTCCTAATAAGTCTCTAAAGTGAGGCTGTTTTAATGCCTGTCGAAGTTCTCAACAATTTCTCAAAGAGGTCACGTGGTATGGCGGTAATGAGGCATCGGACGTCATCGATTTTGGCCCCTTTACTTTTTTTTTATGGAACTTTATTGATCTCACATTGGTGAAATTTACCTCTGCATTTCACCCATCCCCTTTGGGAGCAGTGGGCTGCCCTTGTGCGGCGCCCGGGGAGCAGTGTGGGTCTTACTCAGAGAGCCAGAGTGGCAGTCTGTGGGAGTGGGGCTCGAACTCAGAACCTCTGAATTCCAAGCTCAACGCCCTAACCACTACGCCACCACTCCCCACTACTTCATACGTTGACTCAGACTAGCTCAACTTAGCTGTTCCTTCAGCATTTGTTAAAGAAGGAATTTAAATAAATAAACTAGGGTCCATTTTTAGAGCTGAAAGAAAAATTATGCTTTTTGCTATCAGATTAAGAAATTTAATTTGGATTTTTATATTTATGCAAATACCAGAATGATGATAGCTGAGTATTCTGGCTTTTGTATCTTTTTTTGTCTTAATTTCTTAATGATAGAAAACATCTGGCTCTGAAGGGCAGAGAGATGGTGGAGATCTGGGAATTAACTGCTGTTATTAGATTTCTAAAGGATTTGGGTCGAGGATTAAGGCCCTTGATAAGTAAAGATTTAGCATAGAAAACAACATTTCTGACCATAAAGAAGTGAGTATAGTTTTAGGAACTACCTGACTGGTTGTCGGACTGAGTTGACATGTTCTCACAGAAGTCCTCCTGGCTGAGCTGAAGGTCCCGCTGAGGTTCTGAAAGCCTCTGACTTTGGGCCGAGTTCTCAGGAACTGGTTCTGTTGCCGGTGGTTGGACCAAAATCGGTCCTATTACGGGTTTATGGCTCAGAACTAGTCCTTTTGTTTGTGTTTGGGTTGAAACCAGTTCTATTAAAGGAGTCTTAATAGGAGCTGGTCCTGTTACTGGTGTTTGGTCAGGAAATGCTACTGGAGTTTTGGTTGAGGCTGGTCCTTTTATTGGTGGATGAACTGGTGCTGGTCCTTTTATTGGTGGATGAACTGGTGCTGGTCCTTTTATTGGTGGATGAACTGGTGCTGGTCCTTTTATTGGTGGATGAACTGGTGCTGGTCCTTTTACTGGTGTTTGGACTGGAGCTGTTCCTGTAACTTGAGCTTTAGTCGGTACTGCTCCTTTCAATGAAGTTTTTAAAGGAACTGGTACTGTTACTGGTGATTCAACTGGAGCAGGTGCTGCTACTGGTGTTGCAACTGGAACGGATTCTGTCACTGGGGACTGGGTTGGAGCTGTTCCTTTTACTGTGGTATTACCTGATGCTGGTCCGGTCAGTGGTGTTTTGATTGAAACTGGTCCTGTTACTTGAATTCTTGTCGAAGCTGGTCCTTTTATTGGGGTACTGACTGTTGCTGGTCCTGTTACTGGTGTTTTGGCTGAAACCGGTCCTGTTACAGCTGTTTGTACTGGAACTGGTCCAGTAGCTTGAGTTCTAGTGGAAACTGGTCCTTTTACAGAGGGTTTGATAGGAGCTTGGCCTGGTGTTCCAACTGGAGTGGGTTCTGTAACTGGAGTTTTGACTGAAACTAGTCCTTTTAGAGGAGCTTTAACTGGGATTGGAGAGAGATCCAGCTTAGGTTTTGATTCAATGTTTGCGTCTTTAACGGTATCAGGAGCTGAAAGTGGTTCTGTGTTCTGGTTCTGATGTAGAGGCCGAGCAACCAGGCTGTCAGATGTATCCATGGCAGCGTCTCCTTCCTCCTCCTCCAGCTTCCTTTTCTTTCCTCTCCTCTCTTTGTCTTTCTCCTCTTCCTCTGTTATCTCCATCGGATCCTTATCTCTCTCTGATTCAGGGTCTGGCTCCATCTTAGCTAGTTTATCTTGCTTCACCTTCTCTATGTGGACATCTTGCTCCCCCAGGAAGTCTTTACTGACACTCTGTTCATCTCTGACTCCGGGTTTAGCTCCTCGGCTGGAGTCTCCTTGCTCCTCAGTCTCCTTTGGCTCTCTCTTCTTGTTCAGAGTCTGTGAGTGAGATGGAGCAGAGGCTAAAGGAGGGGATTTTAAAGGAATACGACCCAAGTCTTCCTTGTTTCCAGTCCTCTTTGATTGGCTGGAAAGCTCAACCAGCTCAGCAGGTTTGGACGGCACCACAGTGTGGGCATATGTGCCCGCCTGTGACTGCTGACCAGATGACAGGGCGATCATCTGGAGCTGCCTAGCTGCAGACGGTGAGCGCTCAAAGTGGTTGGAAGAAGATCCCAGGCTGTTTTGGGACGGGGATGGAGCCAGAACGGTTGGCGTTGATGGAGCGCTCTTCAGCCCGGTCAGCGGCTTGCTGACGGACACTGTCTGACTGGATGGAGCTGCAGAGATGGGTTGGAGGGCTTGGGAATGCCGAGGGGTTGTTGCTCGGTGACTGCTGGGAGAGTGAAGCCTGGGTCTCAGCGGGACGGCTCGGACTGGAGAGTAGAGAGCTGGGATGATGAATGAGGAAGGCAAACAAATAAACAAGAAACATTTCAACAAATATTTAAGGTTTGGAGTTTACAATTAAACCCTACTGGGGCCAAGAAGTAGCTGTTTTCAAAACCTACCGCGTCGCCGGCGACCCGTTTTAAAGCGTTTACAACTGATAACTGAGAATGCATGAAAATTACACCAGTAAACCTTTTACCAATATAGACATGTTAGACATTATTTGAAAGCTTAGATTCTCCACAATTCAACCAGCAAGTTAATTTTATGGACATAACGAGCACCAAAGAAAACATGTCTTTATAACTTCTGTTAAAAAAAGACCTATTATTTTCAAGAAAAAAAAACGAGTCACGTTTGAACTGATGCAGTCTGGGCTGTGTTTTCCTCACCCAAATTTAACTAGAAGGTGTTAGCTTTCAATGAATGTATCAGGCATGTAATTTGGGCTTACCGTTCTTTAGTTATTTGCTTTTCCATTTGGCTATGCAAAATAGGTGAGAATTTCCCAAATTGAGGTGGATGATAAAAGGTTAACTTTTAGTGTAGAGATCTATTCATTTTCTTTCTGCCGATAAGTCGCCTCATTAAAACCTAAATACTCTTTTTTTACACTGGTTTTAGATACAATATAACCAGAGTGCGTTTGAAGGGTCTAGCTGAGGTCTTAGATGAATCTTCAGGTACAGTTATTCTTAGAAAACAATCATTAAAGGTGAGCCAACATGGTGGTTATTGCTTGTGAACCAACATGGTTTGGGTCGTTGATGGAAATCTGAAACCATCAAGGCCTCCACACCAGTCAGATCATTGCAACCCTCAATAAGGTGCAGGTGCTACTCTGAACAGGCTCCACTATCACAAACACTACTTGGCTACAAAGACCTGGGCACTCTAAGCAGCACTAAATATCTCTGGGTTTAGCTGTGCTTTATTAGCCTGTGAGCACATGATTAATGATGTGAGAAGGCTTGATGTGGCCCAGGTTCTGCACATGGGATGCTGATGAACACTGGGTTTTCCTCCTGTACTGACAATGGAGGTTCGGAAACCTCCAATAATTTCAGAGAGACATTATCCTGATTATGAAGAAATTATAGAAACAAACAAGCGCTGATGAGAAAATTATGGAATAATGGGATGATAAATGGATCATTGTGGGAAAGTAATTATAAAGCTTCTTTAAGTGGCTGTAAAGAGTGTTTTCAGATATAATTAATAGGAAAGTTTTCCAAAATCTGTAATGATCCAGCCATTTTCTAAGCCCAATGCTCATAACGAGTGAAGATGGATGTGAAGAACACAGTTAGCTAGAGCTATAAGCAACAGAGGATTTATAGATTAGACTTACTGTCGACAGAGCTTGGTGTTTGACCAAAGCTCAGTGTTTAGTTAACTTCTGTTATTTGTTGAGATTAGGGATGCACGATATTGGGATTTTGGCCGATATCCGATATGCCGATATTTTAAAACTCATGAAGCCGATAACCGATACCGATGTTAAAGCTGGACAAAAATAAGTAGTCATTGAAAATAGAAGTTTTGTTATCCATTTCTCACACTTTGAAAAATAATATACTCAAATATATTTTCATATGCTGATATCAAATTGATTTTTAAAAACGCGGTATCGATCTATTTTACTTTCAAAATCTCGTGAAATTTCATCGTTCTGTTACAAACTCTCGTGATATTTTGCAAATTCTTGTGAGATTTTGTTAGTAAAATAGATCGATGCTGCATCAATATTTTTCCCTCGTCTTTAGAAGTTTTTAAGTCTGTAAAAAGGAAGTTTTTAAGGAAGAAGTAGTAGTATTTTCTTTTTTTTTTTTTTGACTTTAGAAACTCAGAAGCTGATCAAATATCGGGTTAAATATCGGTGGGGTGGCCGATATCCGATATTCAGTTTTAAGGCCGATACAGGCCGATACCGATAGGGGGCCGATTATATCGTGCATCACTAGTTCAGATTCTTAATGAAATAGAGGAATTATTGTAGTTTTTTTTTTCACTTACAGTATTAGGGTATTTGGGAACTTCCTTTTTTGAAATAAAAAACACCAATCCTATTGATAAAGATGGAGGTTTAAAATCTAATCTAATAAAATGTTTGCATTTTACAAACTAAAACACACTTTTTCTATCACACATTAATGCATCCATCCATTTTCTATTATTTAAAAAAAAATTAAATATAGTTTATTTTAAGTTTATAAACAAAGTATAGAATTGGGTCTCACTTAACAGAATTATATAATAAATACTGAATTTGATTTATAATAACAGATCGTATGCAATATAAAATATTATTGTAGGCTAAAACATGGCCAAAAAAATGACAAAATATGCAATATAACGAAATATCCCAATGCCACATAGCACCATTAAATACAGACAATTTGAAATCTCTTTTTGTTTAAAAATTTAAATGTTCTTCATAAAATCAAATTAAATTGTTCTAACAGCAGTAACCATCTCATCCCTCAGTTGGTGATCGACTGTTTCAGGAACACATGCATCAGAACCTACTTGGAGGCGGGACAGGAAGGTGGCGGCTGGGCGTGGTCTGGCTCTCCGTCGTCGTGGTGCTGGGCTGCGGTCGTGGCCTGAGGGGCGGGAACACAGGGGCGTTGGGCCGGGAGAGGGGCGGCGGGGCCGAGGAGGGAGGCTTTAGCCTGAGAGAAGGGGGAATAGTGAGGGTCCCGGGGGGAGGAGGCCTCAAGGTGAGACTCTGCAGCTGCAGGGGGAGACAAGATTGATTAAACTCCTCCCACCTCCTGCCACAGACCACCCCAGCTTAGCAACGGCTACAACACACATGCAGTTAGGAGTAAAACCCAAAGCATACACACTTTAACTTCCAGCGAGGCTCACCTGAGCAGAGGCGGGGTTAGAGGAAGGGACGGAGGAGGAAGAGGAGGAGGAAGAAGGAGACTGTGCAGGTCGCATAGCAGACGTAAGAATGAGCTGCAAGGAGATCCGAGGAGAGAAGAAAATAAGGAGGAGGAGGAAATAAATGTAGGCAGGCAGGAATGCAAAGCTGAGCGTTAGTGTTTGTCTGCTGATTAATGAAATCATTTCCTGTCCTTCTAAACTGTTTGTGTCATTCAAATACTCCTAGGATTTAATTCAATTCAATTCAGTTTATTTATATAGCGCTAATTCACAACACGGCATCTCAAGGCACTTTACAGTTCACCAGTTAATACAGGTGAAGTGTAATCTAGTTGGTCACCAAAATTTTATATCTAAGGAAAACCAGTTGATTGCATCGAATCATTGACTCGAAGGCAATCCCTCACACTAAGCATGCTTGTAGCGACAGTGGAGAGAAAAAACTCTCCTTTAACAGGATCCCTTTTAATCCTGTAATGTTCCTCAAGTCATGGTAACATCATTCACACATTCACACACACACTCACACACTGATGGTGGCAGGCTACATTGTAGCCACAGTTGCCCTGGCTTACTGACAGAAGTGGGGCTGCCGTACACTGGCGCCATCAGTGGACAATGCAGGTGAAGTGTCTTGCCGAAGGACACAACGACACTGACAGTCGGAGCCGGGGCTTGAACGTCAATCCTTCGATTTCAGGGCAAACTCCTACATCCAACGCCACTGTAGCCCCTCAGTTCACCAGTTAATACAGGTGAACTGTCATAAATGTCATAAATGTAGAGCTTAGAATCCATGATACAAATAGAAATAAACAATTGTTTCTTAAAAATAAACAGCTGTGCTGCATTTTTTATTTCCAAACAACAGCGTTTAATCATTTTTTACAGACCTCCTTATCTAAACATGGAGCAGTGCTTTCTTTACATAAAAAGGGATTCAGAGTGGAGCTGAGATAACGGCAGAACGGCGTAGGTACCATGCTTGTGGCCCTGCCCCTTTTTATGACATCAACATATTGCAACTCCACTCGGATGAACTGTATTGCACCCGTTTCTTAAGGATTGAATCTCTTTTGGAGTTTCAACATATTATTACCTATATTTGCTTTTACATTTTTTTTTTACAGTGATCTAAAGCAGCTGAAAGTTAGGGTGACCATATTTTCATTTGGGGAAACCAGGACACCTTGGAGCGGGGGGAGTTGATTGAAAGAACAAATGTCTCATCATCGGGATTTGCTCCGTGATGAGAGGAAATGTTACTTGTTACTAGTTGTTTTAATGGTTATTGAGTCAGATATGTGGCGTAATGTTTGGTTTATCTAAAGGTTTTTATCTGCTACTGTGTAAATGCGTTTGGCTGGAATTTAAGGACAGATTCTAATATATCTGCAGAGTGGGAACTATAAATCTGATAGGAGTTCAATTTTTTTGTTGTTTTGCACAATATGTTTAACTAAGTATTTTTTGTTGTTGTTGAATATTAGAGATTTTGCAGATATATTTTGTAGATACATTGTTTAGATTTACTTATATCTTTCTACCCCTTTTATAGAATAGAATAGAAAATCCCCTTATTGTCCCACAATGGGCAGATTTACAGCAGCAGAAAGATTATTGAAAATGGTCACACAAATGTGGCCCTTAGAAAATGTATAAGAATAACATAATAGGGAAGAGTTAAAATATAAACAAAATCCTGTAAAGTGTTTTAACAATATAAAACTGGAGAATTAATAACCAATATGCAGCTATGGACATTTTTACAGTAATTAGAAAATAGCAGCAACATCAGAGATGTGCAGAATGACAGCAGAATGTTATTTAACTGACTAAGGTTTCTATCATTACATTTGATTTTATTTGTTCCTGCTCCCGGTGGTTGGAACCTTTATTCCACTCTGGATTCTTGTGAGTGTAGTCTTTGTTCACTTTAACTTTAAAAAAAATAAATAAATAAACAAACAGTTTTGAAAACCTCGGTATTCATTATTTTCCTGCTTTGTGTGTCAACTTTCACGGTTGCTAAGCAACAGAGGCGGTAAAACCCGCCGAAGGGTGGACCTGTTCGAATTTACAGCAAAAACTCTTCCGGCCTCCTTATTTTCAAGGACTTCGAAGGATCCAGTCTAGGTAGACCGCGTCCTTGGAGGATGCAGCCCAGGATTTCGAACAGAGCCTCTGATTGGGCTGCCCGCACTGACGCGGCTCAGGGATTACGTCACACGGAGCGTTGTGTGCAGTGAAATCATGACATTTCCTCACTTTCTAAAAAAAAAACCGGGACGCCTACACCGGGACAGGACGTGAAATACGGATATGTCCCGGGAAATACAGACGTTTGGTCACCCTATGAAAGTAGAAAACAATCATTGTCAGTCAGTCTTAAAGGAAAGTACTGCTTTCAAGACAGACTGAGCTCTGCTATTTAATGAGGAGACACAAAAAGTCTAAGTTTATTTCTATTCTTTTTATTAAGATCTGAGGGAAGGAAGGGCAAATGGAACAGCCTAAAAAATGACTTTCATAGTGATTTTAAACAAAGAAAACAAGTTATTCTACTTGCAGAAAACAAACAGTTGGTGTTGATATGAATTCAAAAGTGTAGCTTCATACGGCTAAATGACCAAGCTAAAAGAGGCTAACCTGTTAGCTACTGAGCACAGCTAGCCACAGCGCTACCAGCTCTCCTCCTTTATATCATGGTCTAACAGTTAATTGGTTCAACGTAAACAGATTTGTTTTCAGTTTTGTTTTCGAACAGGTAAATCTTCATCGTTCATTAGACACGCTAAAGGACGCTGCGTGATGTTATTGTTGTCTTGGCAACCACTATGTTTTACATCGCGTGGCGATGTTCAGCCAATCATAAAGTGTAACGTCACTGGCATGAAGCATGACCCGAGCAGCTCTGCTACCTACGCCGGACGGCCATGTTGAAACCACTCCAGTTTAAAAACAAAACAGACTAAATCCTCTTCAGCGAATGTCACATTTCTGTTTGTTTATTCACACAGAAATCAGTGGTGCTCCAATCAATCCACTTCAGATAGCTTAGATTAAAGAATATATCTACTACCTATAAGCATCACAAGCTAATAATCACATTTTTATCTATATAAAAACTGTAAAAACAGTTTAAAACTAAAGCAAAAATTATAGTTGATCTCTAACCCATCAGAGTAAGAGACAATTTTCCAATTTCCACATCACACTGAGGAAAGGTTGTTGTAAAGTCTTTAGGGCTAGGGTTTAGGGCTAAGATGTGGACTGGGTTAGGGTGAGGGATGTACTGGTAATGGTTAGGTTTAGGATTATTTTTGGGCTTAAGGCATAAAAAGGCTGAAAAAAAGACTTAAAATCAATGGAAGTCAATGGAAGTAAGCACATGATCCTCACTACAAAAAGCAATACAAGACGTGTGTTTGTTTAAAAACTGAAAAGTAGAGCAAATCTTTCACTGGCATTAACTGACTTTATCTATCAATGTTCAAATCTGCTCATATCTTGTTGAAATAAGTCAATTAAAATTAAAATAAATATATTTGTTGTTAAAATTATGATTTATCTGGATCTCCTCAATACTTCTTATCTAGCTTGTCACAGAAAATATAAGATGAATTTAACCAATAATCAATTAAAAAGGTATTTTTTTATATGTTTGATGTTAGATTGTTTTGCTTTTTAAATAGAAGAGATCAAAGCTTTTCAAGATAATTTTAACCCATTTTTTATCATTTTCTTGATGACAATGAAAACAGGATTAAGTCCATCTTATCTCAACACGTTTAATCTCTGCACCTGCTGTTCCTCATCTTTACCGTGTTTAACTGGGGGTCTGTGTGTGTTTGTTTACCATCTTTGCTCTCAGCAGAACCTGGTCTTGGCCAGACCCTTTGAGACCTTTCCCCAGGAGCAAAGCCTGCTGGGATACCCTCTGCCTGACAGGTGAGGGGCCCTGATTGGCTCGCACAAGACCAGGTGTACCCGCAGGATTTGCCTGTTGTGCCTGGAACAAAGGAAGAAGGGAGACTGATGAGATGGGGTTAAAGGGAAAGATTCAGAAAAACACGAGTTTTAATGTATACATCAATAGGAAATTATGTTCATAAAAATGACATGATAAATCATGGAAGCTGAAACCCAGAGGAATCAAACACTCGGAGATGTACCCTCTATGAATATGTTTGATTATGTAATTTCCTTTTATTTTTATTATTAGTGAGGGATGGAAGAAAAAAACATGCAGTTCTTAAAAGCTGTTAAGGACCCAGTCATGCTGATGAAATGTAGTTTAAATCTAATCTTTAAGATGTTTTTCTTTTACATTTGAAACTCCACTTACGTTTTATCACAAAGCACTAAAAGAAACATAAAAAAATAACCCCAATATATTAAGCAATAACAAAAACAGTAATTCTAGGGGGGGAAATACATTTTCTATTAAGTTAATTTCTACTTTTCTCATTTGACTGGTGAACACACTTTATCTGTTGAGGCGTATAAACATTTGAACCAACCAAGCTCAGGTTTAATGGGTCACATCTTTAATCAGATGTTTCCTGATTTTGGAACCAGATTTGGTCCTTCTAAGATCCGCTCTCAGATGCAGCAGACCCAGATGGTAAACCTAGATGCTCCTCCCCCTCTGTGACACAGTGCAGCTCTTCCTGGAGGATCCCACAGTGTCACCAGACCAGAGAAGATTCTTATCCAATTCCTCCTTCCAGAGAGAGGTGCTAGAGAGGAATCTGTTTTTGATTCCATCCCCAGATCAGATGCTTTACTATGAAGTCCAGCCACCCTCAGGAAGCTCATTTTAACCGTTTGAATCCGTACAGTCATTAGTCACTCCTCATGACCATAAGTGAAGGTCAGAAATTGGGCAGAGCCGTAGGCTCAGGCACCAGGACCAAACCTTCATCCAGGTTAATCCAGATTGACATAATCTGGGTCTCACTGACAGAAGGCTCAGTGTGCAGCTTTAAGCTGGGCCCCATTAGCAGTAAGCAAGAACATTTTCTTAGGCAGGTACCAAATATAAACTCTAGGTTTAACGGAAGCTAATAGGCCCAAAAACCAGTTCAGCCTCCGTCTACATTAACCACACTTTACCATCAAGAAAATAATTGAGCAAAACATTCATCTTTTACAAATAAATCAATGAAAACACAAACTTGATTTCCATGCTATTAAATCTATAGACCTATTTATACATCTGTGATATCTAAATGATTATTTATGGTCTGCATTGTAGACATATTCAATAAGAGTATTTGTTATTTATCTTTAATTATAGATGACTAGATTTTGGGGTTCAGCCTGTGACCCCGAAAATAGCTCTGCAACAGGTTGGTGACCCCCTAAATACATAGAATCACTTCGTGCTATTTTCATTTATGCATATAAAAATAATTTGGGGGAGTGGTGGCCTAATGGTTGGAGCATTGTGCCTGAGTGCTGGAGGTTCTGAGTTCGAGCCCCACTCCAATAACTGCTACTCTGGGTTCCTGAACCAGACCGTTAATCCCTCACTGCTCCCCGGGCGTCGCACAATAGCAGCCCACTGCTCCCCAGGGGATGGATTAATGCAGAGGTAAATTTCTCCAGTCTGAGATTTAAAAAGTGAAATTATAAAGAAATATACTTATAATGTTAAATTATTATCATTATAAGAAAATGTATTCATTTTTAAATGCATCTTTTTTTTAGTTAACAACATTAATTTTTCTAATTTATCCTTTTAATTGTATAATTACAATTACCTATTTATGCATATAACAATGTAATGGTACATTTTATGAAAAATGTATTAGCCAAATATATCCATGTTTCATCTCCGAATACATGGTACCTCTATCTTTTATTATTATTATTATTATTATTATTATTATTATTATTATTATTATTATTATTATTATTATTATTATATTTTTCAGAGGAATGTTTATTGTTGTTAAAACTCTCTGACATCCCACTGGGAGATAAAAAGCCTCCTACATTAAGGCGATGAATCAGCGCTGCATCAGCTCAGCAAAGATCCATTTTAATTTGATCCGTTTGTTGTTTTGTTTCAAACAGCCTGCAAAAATGACCCAATTTATTCCAATCTAAACCTGAACTCCGTCTGAGGGAAGGGAATTAGGACTTTGGGTCAAAGCAGGTGATTCCCAAACTTTATTTGTCTGGAACAGATTCTGGTTTTACCATTTTCCTAGATTATAAAATCTAATCTTTAGTTGTTTAGGTAATTTGGTTCTGCACCCTCTGCATACATGCTCAATGTTGGTTTCTTGCTCACTTTTCAGCTACATTTTGTTTCGCAGCTTTAGAAAGATGTGAAACTTTGAGATGAAAGCAGATAGAGGGGAAGCTGCAACCTCAAACAGAGCAGCTCTGACCCAGAGAGCAGAGACGGTGGACGGCTGAAAGCATTTATTCACTGCTGCTACGTCACTCACACCACGACTGTGTCTGCAAACCCCCTGTTTTCAGATCCGCTGTTTGGACCATAAAAAAAAAAAGACTGTTGGTCTCACATTCCTGACTAGAGCAAAAATTTCCTTTTGCAGTACTTTCAAACTGTAAATCTGCATAAACTTCTTAAGCTTTTCATTTTTTATGATTCAATTCAGAGATTTTATTTAAATTTGTGGAGTAAGCTCTGAATAAATCATTAATCTAAAAACACTAAGCACTTGTTTGTTACACATTTTCTTGTTTGGTATTAATGTGACCTAAAATATCATTTAGCACACCATAAAGTTCTGAATACATCTTTATTGGATATTTATGGGTTGCGGTTGGAAAATGTATTTAATCAAGTAATCACCGCAATATTTTAAATTGTTTAGCCTGTAATAAAAGGAAAAAAGAGGGTAAGTTTTTTATTTTATCACTATATTAATTATATATTTATATATAAATATTATAAAATATAATAAACTAAACATTTAATTAGCAAATTAAATATGTAGTTTACAGACTATATATATATATATATATATATATATATATATATATATATATATATATATATATATATATATTACTTAATTAATAAAATGTTTTTTTAGCAAATAAAATATTGAGCTCCAATCTAAATGCTAAGATCAGAGCTAAATATTTATTTGGAAAATTTAATATTGGCCTTAAATTAAATATTTAGCTTACAAACTATAAATAAACTAAGTATTTATCTTGCTTTATCGTTTATATATAACGATTTAACAAACTAAATATTCAGCACTATTCAGCACTCAGTGCATTGAGATGAAGCTTAAGCGTAAATTCAATCTGGAAGAGTCTTATCAGCTTCACCTGAACCACCTGTGATGTCTCTTGTTAAAGCCCCTGTCACACCTTGATGATTTAGCCAGCGTATGCCTGACGTACAAAAAATCTGGCAAAAACCGCTTGAATATGTTGGATAGGTTATGGGTATGTTTTGTATAAGTTATGAACACAATGAAGTACGCTGAAACACGACGACATACGGCGAGTGTGTTAAAGAATTTTGAGCATGCTGAAAATGTCCCGCTGTGAGCCAGCATATGTCATACGTGGGGCATAAGTTCCAGGTCAGTTGTCTGATGTTTGACACATGTTAAGTGAAAGTTACTCATAGTTTGTGGCGTCTAGCTTATCCAGAAACTCTGAGTACCTTGTGCATAACTGATGCGTAACTTATAAAGAACTTCTCTCCAAATCATATCAACGTATCTGACGTGTTCCAGAAGAGCGCTGAATGTGTTTCTAACTTCCAGCTACTGTATAATGGCGTATTGGCAGCGTTTTGGTATAAAGGGGGTTCACAGGAGGAAACCGTCAGTTCTCCTCCAGACTTCATCCCCATCATAGGGTGAGCCAGAAGGTGAGGGTGATGAATCCTCCCCGCGCTCATGTCCACCACCAACAAGCTTCCTAGCAGACATGATGCTGAATCTGCTGTGACTGCAAAACGTGTTTTCTTCTTTATTCTTTTTTTTTTTTTGGTTGGGCGGTAAACAGCAGCTAGGTTAATACCAAGACCAAAGAAATCTTTTTATGCAGACCGGGCACCTCTGGCCACATCGCTGCTCCTGAGGGGGGACAGCTTTAACTGATGCTTCGTAATGCCCTTGAAATAATGTTTGTGCATCATTTCATGGGAATTACGCTGCCCATGAAGTTAGACTGTCGTTGGACATAAGTTCTGGACTCGTTATCAATATTCTATGTATATGCCTGAAACTGAAGAAATACATAGAAATTGACAAGCCAAATTCACAAGGTGTGACAGGGCCCTCAGCTTCAGTTAATCAACATTGGGGCCACTCCTTCTCCGAAGCCAATCCCCATCATTAAGAACATTTGATCCCCTACACTTAGCTCCTGGCCCAGCTTCTCTTTCCTGCATGCAAGCGAACTTCCATCCTACCTCCACCCCTTCTCCTCCCTCATTCTCAGTCCCACTCATCCTCTGGCTTATTCAACCACCAGTGTCCGGGCGCCAGGTGAAAACTACTCTAACCCTTTTCTACGTTACTCATCCGAGCGAATATTGATTCTCAGCATGAAAGTCTACTGCCAGGGCCTGAGTGCCAAATAACTTGTTTTCATTTATTTCAATATCTGTATGTCTGCTTCTGTCTCCTTGAACCCCAGTCGGCCTCAGCAGATGGCCATTCACACTGAGCCTGGTTCTGCTGGAGGTTTCTTCCTGTTCAAAGGGAGTTGTTCCTCTCCCCTGTCGCTACAAGCATGCTTAGTGTGAGGGATTGCTGAAGAGTCAATGAGTTGATGCAATCAGCTGGTTTTCCTTAGATAGAAAACTTTGATCCAATCGGACTGTATTACCTGTATAAATAAATTGAAATGAATAAAACTTTTCTAATTTCTGCTTTACTCTGTGTGAGTTTCTCCAGGTTGAAATGACATACGTTGTCAATTGAAAAACATAAAAAAAACGGAATACTTAATGTCAAGTTAAATATTTAGTTTAAATTAAAATGTTTCAATAGTTTATCG